GGGGGACTATCTGTATTGGGAAAAAACTGAATTTCAATATTGAAGATGACATGTCATGACACGTGGACCGGTCAAATAGTCAAAGCATGACAAACAGTTAGAAGACACGAGCAACAATAGATGCGGGAGAGAAGATACGAGCTACTATCCAGATGAAACGAGACTCGTACCTGTTCGAGCCATTTAAAGCTCGAAGATCAGAAGGAATTGAAGATATGAATCTGATAGCGTAAAAGAGTCCAAATTCAACATTAAATGCCAAATACGTTAGAGAATTTGTATTTAATAAGAATGATTGAATAACGTTTCTTTTAATGTCATTTACTGCTCGTAATTGCCTCATTAAGACAAAGATATTACACTTTCTCTTAGAATTGACTATAAAAGGAGAAAGTCACAACATTTGTAAGACACGAAATATCATTCCGATTATACTGAAATATACTCTTATTCATTGCTTTATTGTTATTCACAAAATCTCTTATTTCTTGATTATCAGTAACCCGATTTCTCTATTAAATTCTAGCTTTAACCAAATATTCAGTTTTCTGGTTAAACAATTATACCATGTCTTTTTTTGTCCAAACTATTAATGCTATAGGCTTCCTGTGATTGCAATGTATATTAACAACTTCCCTTATACACTTTAGTTGTGGGTGTTGCTAACTGAACAATATTTTTGTTTGTTAATATTGCTTAATAAGCAATATTTTGATATTACGATAGTACTTTAACTTCATGAAAAATTATAAAACGATCTAAAGGATGCAAAAACTAATTCTATTCATATTTTTATGGACTTTTAGGGCATTGATGGCATTAAAGTTATTTTGTAAGGAATTTTTTAGCATAAAATGATTGTTCTTGTCTTCTCCTTTTGATGGACTAATATTAATAACTCATTTTGGTATAGGTCAAATCAGGTTGAAGGGAAATAAGCCAAACTGGATATGGTCATTTAAGCCGATGTGGCATTATTATTAGATTTTTTAAATAAATTTAATGTCAAGTCAAATTTTTTGTAGAATATTTCATGGGTTTGAGCTAGAATGACTTTTAAATGAGAGGATGAAGTTGAGTGACTTTTAAGTGATAAAAAATAGAATAGTGACTTTTGTGAAATAAACACATAGTTGGATGACTACCAGTGAAATTAACCCCAACAAATAGTATATATATAGACCATAACTTTAAAGATATAATTGGTTCAATACTAAAAATCTTAAATTTTGAACCCATGGAACTTAAATCTTGAATCCGTCTCTGGTTAAAGATCGATAATAATCATAACATAATTATAAAAGAAAATATGTTCCATTCATGAGTGAAGGAATTTTTTTTCTTTTTCTGAGGTCCTGAAGCAAACTACTCATTGATGTGTTGCATCAACCCATGAAAAGCACACTAATTAGTGAAAAACATTGTCTGTGGTAATTAAACATCTAACAAAAGTGCAAAGCCTTGAGACTACATATAAGTTGTAGGCATTTGTTTTAAAATCGTGGCGCATTACTATGCCTATTTAGTGCGGTACTTTTCCCGGCCGGCCCGGGAACGATATCTAGCCAAACATTTCAAGAAAAGAATTAATGGTGGTTATTAGTCAAAGGTAGAAGGCATATATATCTGAGGATATGTCGGGTAAAACTATTAATTTAAGTATAATCTCTTCTTAAAAGGCAGTTAGGTTTATATTCATCTTCCCTTTTGGACAACATCATTACTACTACAATATACTCCTAGTATTCCTTTCGCAAAAAAGATCTTTAATTTTCGAGTGTTTTTGTGGCTACAGAATCACAAGTTGGGTGCAACAAAGAAAAGTTAATTTGTATCCACTACTCTTCCTCTTTATCTTGCTTTATTATTTCCTTCTCTCTTTTGAAGATGTTCCTCCTTTTGAGGAAAAAAACAGAAATTGCTCCTAAGGGTGTGGCATGAATGACATCATAGGCGAATTCAAGATTTACGGTCGGTAGAATCAGAATGAGTGATCTTATTATATGTATACATTTTAATTTTGGCATATATATATATATTGTTAAAATTGTTGTCATGTGACCAGGAGATCATGGGTTCAAGCCGTGGAAACAGCCTCTTGTAGAAATGCAGGGTAAGACTGCGTAATATAGACTCTTGCGGTCCGGCCCTTTTCCAGACCTAGCGCATAGCGGGAGCTTAATTCATGGGCTGCCCTTATATATATACAAGGTCGAACGGGAAACAACGAGTTTAATTGAACCCACCCTTGATCCGAATCTAAATAATATCTTCCTCTTTTTCCCTAGCTTGATGCAAGGGTGACGAGATCCTGCATTGGCTGTTTAGTTGAAAAGGAAAGCTGAAGTCTGTTTTTTAAAATAGTTGTGGTCATCCTCAATCTTTTCCTACTACCACAACTTGCATGCTGAGAAAGTGAGAAGTGCCTTTTGATCCAGTACTAGAACTCATTTATGCATAATGACAGAGGAGTCGATCACTACCATTCAAAGAAACTATTGCTAGGACTATATATGCTTCAAGATACCAGCATGTCATTTTTTCTAAAGTTAAAAATTGTTGGAGGAGGCAGTCACTTAATTTATGCAAAGGAAGATCTAAAATTAATTTTATGGGTTCAACTAACCAATTATTTTTGACTCAAACCAAGTATGCATATACAAAATAAAAAGTAATATGGATATATATTAGTATTACATTTATTATGAACCCACTAGCACTAGAATTTGGAGTCGACTAATGACCTTATGGAATCAAAAATTAAATGCAACTAAGCAATCCTGAATCTAGAGATATAGTTATATTCAGCTGCTTAGATAGTCCCTTTTTATCCAAACTACTTCTGGATTGCTCTGTTCATTAAATTATTCCACCTTCTAATTTTTTAGGGTACTTTCTAGCCTAGTTTAGTTTCCACAAGAGTGGTCCTGTTTTATCCCGAATTGTCACAGGCATAAAGCTACAGCCTACAGAGTATATATAAATGCCAAGAATATATAACACAAGCTATTCTTCCTTCCTATATTAACTACCACACTCAGGGGCGGATGCCGCATATATAGCAGTACAAGGTTCATCGGAAAATGAATTATTTGAGTTTCATTTGAGATTCCCTCCTTGACAAAGGGACATTGTCCCATATTAGAAGATGAAAAGGTTTTTGATGGGTATATAAGCAATTGCTCTTCTTCTAGCTCTTAAAGAGTTGAGAAGAAGGCAAGCCTAGCGCCGTCGGCTTCGGATTTGGTCAATGATTGATTGATTAATTTTCTGGACCAAATTTATTTGTTAATAGTAAATATTAACAGAAATGTTATTAAATATCTGTTTTAATAACAGAATATTAATATTAATATTAATATTAATATTAAATCCAACAGAAATTTTAAACGTTTTTCCGGTATCCGTTTTCCGTTTTCAGTTGTGTAACTGAAAATTAACCTCCTTCTTGAATTCCCGATTTTTTGTTGTGTAAATAGCCATTTATGCTATGGCCGTTTTGCATAAACAATCATTCTGAAGAGTTGCACCTCTTCAATTTTCAGCCCAACCTTGGCTATAAATACAAGTCTATTCTCTCAGTTTTTCCATACTATTTTCTGAGTTCTCCTCCTTTCTTTTGCATACTCTTAACATCAAAGAAAGCAACAGTAAATGTGATTTGCTACCGAACTTTGTGTTCGCTAAAACACTGGGGTTTGAAGTACCACTACACCAGTGTGTAATTTGTTGTATCCTGGGAGGAAGTAATCCATAACCTTGGGCACTAGGAGGGGATTAAATTCCTTAAGGAAACACTGTGAATTCAGTGGGCTCGGATTAACTTTTATTTGGTTTACATTTTCTGTTTATATGTCATTTTATCTTTTCCAGAATTAGTTTACAAATACAGTTTACTAACACATCTGAATCTAATATTTTTAAGCATAAATTAATATATAAAAATTCAGTAAAATTACAATAAGTAGTAACTATGAATCCATAGCTTTAAAAATATAATGAGTTCAAAATTAGGAACTTTAAAGGTTAAACCCAAAGAATTAAAATAAAAGTTGAACTCATAAAATTAAATTTCTAGATCCGCCTCTAAGTACATATTCACATTCAACTAGAGGTTTCATTTTAGCAAGGCAGGAATGGCATCCACATTGAAGACTTTTCTCGACGGTAATATAGCAAGTCAAAATAAGGAGCTAAGATCGCACGGGAGGGAGTAATTACTTGGAAAGAGAACAAAAGCCAAAAAAAAAAAGTCATGCAAAAGGGCAGTTGCATAAGACATTCCACGTTCACGCAGAATCTCGAGAAGAATCACACATATCATACTCTAGAGTATGATGTAGACAACCTAAGATCACACCAGCAAGGAGTAATTTGTTGGGGAGAGAACAAAAGGTAAAAGAAATTCACGCAAGGAACAACAAATTAGCCCAAGAAAAAGGAAGCTTATGTTATTTAAACTGTTACAAAAAATAAATTGTACAAGAAAAATTAACTGGAAATTGAAGTAGTACCAATTACTCCAAACAATTTGCCCTACAACTTTCAGAGTTACATTTCTAGTTGGCCTTTTCCCTAAGAAGAAGCCAACAAGCCTATCATTTCAAGTTTGTCACCTTCAACATTCCCAATACACTAGCCGTCAAGCATGTTGCTTCCTCTTTATCTCTTCCTCTATAGCTACTACTAGACAAACTGAAGCAACCTCCTCACCACCTTCAATGGGGGTCCATTTCCAATCTCTCTCACAATTACACTAAACCATTTTACAGTTACCATCTTTGGTCGGTGCCTTTCTCCTTATTAGCACGCCAAGTTAATTACCGTCCTGTTTTACATTTTACTCCATCAATTTTAACTTCAACATACTACTAAGGGTCGTTTGGCTATAAAAAAAATGATTCCTTTTTTTGGTACAATTCCTTGAAAAAAAAATAGTTTATGTTTCCGAAATTTTACGATTCTTATGTCCAACCGCCCCCAAAATATCACGCTAAAGATAATTACAAGGAACTGTCTATGATAATCCGTAGATTAGTAACCTAACTTGCATAACACAATAAGTGACGGATTACAACTGGTAAAACTGCACTGATAATGTAAATTAGATTGATCTTTTACATTATCGGCGTATATAACTTAAAGCTAAATCTTTTTTCTTTTTTTTTCTAGACTAGAAAATTACTTGAGCCAGCACATGAACGAGACTCAGCCGGAGTTGTAGCCGGAGCACCGTCGGTTTTGTGGGAAACTGCAGGGAACTCACCGCACTTCCGACACCGAGCAACCACGAGAATTTGACGACAAGAAGGGCACGAAGAGTGTGAACCTAACCAAGTATCAATACACGGGAGATGGAAACTATGGCCACACTGCGGCAGCACCCGGATCTCATCTCCCACCGCATACTCCGCCAGACAAATGGCACACTCCGCCGTGAACGGCGTACCTTTCGCCGTTGTACTGCTGGGGTCATACGTGAACTTAGGCAACGACTGCAACACTTTCTTCTTCAACCCTTTATTCGCCGCCGACGAAGACTGACCACCAGCTCCGCCACCTCCGGCGCCGGTTTCTCGCCGGAGCCACGCGCATCTTGCAACGGCTATGAGACCCACCACACAAATTAGTGCACAAAGCAAAGCAGCTAGTATTACGACAAAGTCAGACTCCACTGCCACCGCAGATGGTGGCTCCGCCGCCGGCGTTGAAGGGGAAGTTGAAGAAGAGTTTGTGCTTAGCAGAAATCTAGCTGGACGAGTCATAACTGAAAACAAATTCAACAACAATAATACGGATATAAGTAACTACTAAGTACTATAATATAGAAGAACAAGTTGGGACAATGGATGTAAAAGATGTGGTTGAAATGTCGGTAATTGATGTGAACTTAATACAGTAGTGATAAAAACATATGAAAATGTCTCAAAGTCCTTAAGATATATATATATATATATATATAGATTTAAAATCTGAGGGGAGTGTTGAATGGAAGGTAATTGAAGTTTACACATGTGGTACAGAGAACATCATGTAGAGGTCCCTACTATTCTTCACTACAAATACTACTAGCTATTACAAGCAGACACGTTTCGTTTTATATTTAATGATTAAGATAGAAAATAACTTGCGGTTTAGTTTAATCATGTAGGATTACATGTTGATTAGCATCTTTAGATGAAAGATCAATTCAAATTTGAGTGGAGACAAACAACACTGCTATGTGTGATAGAGAATTTGTTATGATCGAAATAATAAGGTTTCGTGCGGAAGTTAGTAACGCAAGACGATAAATCAGACAACAAAAGAGAAATCTACCAAAAGAGACATAAACATTTAATGTGGTTCGGTCAACTAACCTACGTCCACAGCGGAGATGACCAATCCACTATAATAAAAAGAGAGTACAAAATATTGAGAGAACAACCCCACGAAGAGGCAAACACAAGTGACACACTAACACTTGTCCGGTAAAGTTCTCCCCCTAAACAAGACTCTCAAGCCTCCTATGGCTACATTGTAGATGCTACTGAATGAGAATGACAGATCTTCAATTTATAGAACTCCAAACCTTTTCTTACAAGAAAAGGGACTAGCCAAATATGGAAGAATTATATTTTCCTTCTAGGAAAAGAAAAACCCAACTATGGCAAATATGTTGTCGTTTCCTTCATGAGATAGGAAAATCAATTATGGTTAGAAAATCTGGACAATCACCTAACAAAATTAACCCAAATAGCCGTTCACCTAATCTCTTAAACTACACTTAGCCGGTTGATGTATAATATATGTATAATGTGTGTATAATTAATGTATAATCTATGTATACTGACTAAAAAAAGTAAACAATGAATTTGGCGGGCCTTTTTGATTTGTCTAAACATGAGTTAAGTCTTGATAGATAGAGTTATCGATTGCATGATTAGAGGTAATTAATAAATTTAAAAAAAAAAAAGCTAGCATGGTGCACTAAATTTCGCTATGCACGGGGTCCGGGGAAGGGGCGGACCACAAGGGTCTATGTACGCAGTCTTACCCTGTATTTATGCAAGAGATTGTTTCCACTTTCCACGGCTTGAACTCGCGTCCTTCTGATCATATGGCAGCAACTTTACCAGTTACGTTAAGGCTCCTCTTGATGAGAGTAGATAATCAATATTCGATAAAATAATCGAGAAGTATGCAAATTAGTACGGACAGAAATGTCATAAACAAGTATAATCATGTGGGGTTCAATATTGATTAGGTCCTTTTTTAATTACTTTAAAAATGGATAAGGTTAATTGAAGGAAGAAAGAAGCAAAGGCATGTGAACTTAATTACCAGATTTTGTTTGTATTCAAGTTTATCAAAACTCTTGTCGAAAACCAAAAAGGAAAGGGAACTGTGTAACAAATTGTTCAAACTGAGGGCGACCATCGGTCTCCGCAAAGAAAGAATTACAAGAAAATACACATACTTCACACCATAACAAAAAATAGTCTATGTTTTTAAGTTTTATCCTACTTAGTCCATATTATACATATTTAAGCATTACCAAATTTAAAATATGTGTTCTTACAACCATTGCTTCTAAAAGCTATGGAGTTAAATCTGTGTTCTCACAACCATTGCTTTCACTCTCTCTTCTTCTTACATCTTCTGCATATGCTTCAAGGGGTCGTGTATTTTCTGATTCTCCTCCTGTTTGCAATGTCAGAAAATTGAAGAGTAGAAGTCCACCATTGAAGGCCATACAAAGCATTGCTTTCGAAAATAGAATTTTTTGAGTTTGTTAGTTGTTTGGATTGGGTGTTGTTCCAATTGATTGAAAATATCAAAAGGAGTTCAAAATTTAAATTTGAAGTGATTTGGAGTAGATTTGAGCAAGATTTGAGTTAAATTTCAGAAAAAACGCAAGGTTGAAGACGAAGTCAGTTTTTTGTATAATTATGTATAATCCTGTATAATAGTGTATATAAGTGTATAAACACATCTTATACACTATTATACACTTTTATGCACCTTTATACAAGCGTTTGTAGACGAACTTCTTCCACGATTTTCAGTTACAATTCTTGTTCAAAACCAGTCCAAATCTCCATTAAATGACTTCAAATTTTATATACAACCTCCTTATACTATTTCTAACAAGTCTAAATAACACCCACTCTAAAGTTCTCACAAAATCAAATTCGAAATTTAAACCTACATATTTAAGCTTGTTAAAAATCTAATATTCACCACCTAAATGGAACTGGTTTGTTGAACTAATATTTGAGTCACAGTTACTTATTCAAAAATTAACTTAAAAGCTTGAACAATCTTTTTTAAAAATTAAATAGTAGTTTCGAGAATCTATTGGAATTGAATGTTGAGTATTAGCATATTATTTTTGGCCTAGTTGGTTATAAATTAAAATATAGGCTATAGAATTGAAAAGTAGGAAGCCCAATTATTGTTATGTGAAATTTTTCCCTCTACAAAACCGCCATTGCCATTAGAGTTCTGTCCATAGTAAAAAGAATAAGGTTCCAAAAGTTTTGGTGTCCTTCGGATTCCAAAATAGTCTTCTCCTTGATTTTGATTTTAATGTATATTATTAGTCTATATAATGTTATTTTATGTTAAACAATAAACACAAATTAGTAAATGATCTTTAATCTTATAATTAATGAGGTCTCGAAATATATGACCCTGTCGAAGTAAAAAAAAAATAAAAAATTGTTACTATTGTAATAGTGGATATCGAGTGGGGACTGGGGATGCTAAAGTGTAATATTATTACTTTTGCTTTTTCTTCCTTTTTATGAAAGACAAAGTAACATTAGAAAGTTTTGTTTTGAGGATGAGATGGGTAACATGTTCTTTGTACATTGATTTTGCGTGACAAAAGAAAAAGTTTACTATTTATCCAAAACCAAGTGGCATGTCCGTACTTTGTAGCTGTATTGACAATCTATTTTTGTTTCATCTCCAATAATTAAAAGTTGGATTCGACCTGTTATATATGATTATGTTAACGATAATTATTTTAAATCTGAATTAGAGTGAGAACAGCCGTTAAAAAAGAAAAGAAAAGATTCTTCTCTTTTAACTTTAGAAGGATTCCTGATATTACTTGTTGCCTCCCTTATTTTTCATGAGATGAAAATACAAACAAATAGTTACTTCAATTTGATATTTGTTCAAGTGGATAAAATTGGGGAGGCCCTCATTGGTGAATGGATAAGAATATTGTTGGTAGAATCGAACGGCATAATTTTAAAATGTTACATGTTATTATTATTATTATTATTATTATTATTATTATTATTATTATTATTATTATTATTATTACTACGCTGATCGGATATCCTCTCCATTTAAAACATAAGGTTATATTTTAAGAAATACTTATGGCATGACTGGAGATTTGCATCTATACTCGCTTTTTGGGCCACGTTTTAACTTGTGCCCGTTTTGCAAAAAAAATTGCAAGCGTACCCACTTTTTCGCGTAACTTCAGCATACGGGGCTCAAGTAGCAAAGACGCAAAACTTCAGCATTCTAGTAGACGGGCCTAAAGTAGCAAGTGTGTTGAACCAAGTGTGCTGAAGTTTTTGTTTGTAATTGTTGAACTTAAGCATAGTAGCTGAAGTTTTATTCTCTATTTGCTGAAGTTTTTGTTTGTAATTGCTGAACTTAAGCATAGTAGCTAAAGTTTTGTTCTCTATTTGCTGAAGTTTTTGTTTGTAATTGCACTAAATAACCTGAAGTTTTTTTGTCCTGGATTCATTAGTTTTGTCATTAAGCTTTTTCAAAAACTTCGGCAGAAGATGCTGAAGTTATTTAGTTCATTTATAAAATTTCAGCAATAATAAGCTGAAGTTTTTTTGTCCTGGATAAGCTTTTTTCAAAAACTTCAGCAGAAGATGTTGAAGTTATTTAGTTCATTTGTAAAAACTTCAGCACTAAATAAGTTAAAGTTTTTTTGTCCTGGATTCATTAGTTTTGTCATAAAGCTTGCTCAAAAACTTCAGCAGAAGATGCTGAAGTTATTTAGTTCATTTGTAAAAACTTCAGCACTAAATAAGCTGAAGTTTTTTTGTCCTGGATTCATTAGTTTTGTTATAATCGGACTACTATAAAATAATCAGATTGCCAACAATATCTAAATCATAAAAATTTGGAAAAAAATAAACGTGAAAAGAACAGAATTATCATGAAAAGAATCACTAAGTGTGACCTTAACTTCCCGTGCGTGGAAATATTCACAAATTATTGTCTACTAACTTACGTAATTATTTATAATTTATTTTTAAATAATCTGATAAATATACTTATGGCAATCACCCCATGAATTGAAGTTTCATAGCAGCACCAACTTATATGATATTATTACCATCCCAAAAGTACTCTTAACCTAGTATGATATTGTTCGCTTTGGGTCAAACACACATGACTTCCCCCAAAATGTCTCACATCATTAAAAGATTCATACATCTCATATATAGGCTCCCAATCTTTTCAGCTCCTAATGAGATTTTGTTCGCACACTTAATAATAATAATGATAATAAGATTTAAATTTCGGGTTCAATATTTTTGTTAATATGGATAGAGAAATGACAACCTGGAGAAACAATGGTTGCATCTTCATTGTTTGTAGAAACCAGGCCATGCCTAATGCATGTGAACTGTCTTCGCGCACACCCATGACCCATCATCGGCCTATGTCCCACTTGTTTTGTTTCTTCATTTGCTTTTTTCTTTCTTTTTTTTTTTTTTTTTTTTGAATAAGTTACAAACGAATGTAGGACGTGGATGAGTTCAACTCTGATATAAAATTATAATGATAAATATTAATTTAATATTATAATGTTAAATTAATCTAAAAAACTAGCTCCCAAGTCCCAACCATATCCAAACCATATATGTGGGACTGTATAAGATAGACATGACCATCAACAAATTAATGATGTCTTATTTTGTACACATTA